TAGAACTTTCAACCCGCACTCACTACTTAACAAAGGAAGAGCATGATTTTGCTTTACTTTGCTATATTTCACTGCACTGAACCAGGGTTTCTATGTAACCGTCCAAAAATTCATTCATTTTGGGCATGACGAAATAGGAACGGAAGGAGGAAGACTATTTGCACAGAATAGATAAATAATCAGGCAAACAGAATAGTGAGCAATTATTTAAAAAATCATCACTGCACCTTCTGAACAATAAGCGGACGCTTCCGTCTTGGTGGTGACGAGTCACGAAGCCGAGTCAACGCCGCATCTCGCGCTTCCTTTTGATCCGCTGGTACCTACATCATCTACTTTAACACTATAGATATAGATAGCAGCCTTTATGGACCACGGTTTGCCGACCATGAGGGTCCACATGTGGGCTGTAGAAAAAGCTCCTTTTGGGTTCATCGAACAGGCTTTCAACTTAGGTGATGAGAATACATCGGATCAATGAAGCAGAGCTGTGGCTCAAGAAACATGGTTCCACTTCTCAAGCTACGAAAAACAGCGAATGAATCCCAGTTGCTAAAAATTATCTGGTTCTCGTAGGCGCAATTCGTAAAACATGCGCGGTCAGTGATTCTTGAGATGAGCACAAGAAATCGAGGAACTCAGAACAACTTACTTCGTTCTCGTCCACATCCATTCCCGATATCGTAGGATGATACTCAACAAAAGGAATCGGAAAGAACACCTGGAAATCCCAATTTGCACCGCTTCAATTTAACTACTTTAATTACTGAGTACAAACTACAGAAAAGGCATTACCTGATAATGTTTTATAGTGTTGATACGAGCTCGATCGAGAAATTCTTTTTGCACATCAGCGTGTGGTGATAATAGTAGAAATATCGAGCCACTACCGTAGCGATCGATAGCTTCGTCGAGAGCAGCGCTTCCTCCACGTACATCTGCTGATTTTACTTCCCGTGGAGCTTTCTTCTCCGGAAGAATCTTGCAGTTGTAACATGTCCGACTCCAATCCAGATCGCTTGCATCTGAAGATGTGATCAAATGAAATCCTGACCTCGATACCAGAGCAGATCAGGAGAGGTTGAACTAAACCTCAAATTACAGATTCAATATAGTCTGCAGAGTCAAGCAACCGTTGCAGAGTCCACGTTAAAAATGGCCTACATTTGATTCCTTCTCAGAAGAAGCCATCTTAGGGAGAGGGGTAGATGCCTTGTCTATGACTTTCTACAGGTTTTTAACACGCAGTCGATAAGTGCTGCCGGGCGATCTTCCACCTTCATAAGTCAAGTAAAGTGAAGGGGAGGG